ATAATATATATCTTTTTATTTTGAACAACTCAAGTAGCACTCACAATTTTGTGAGAGCGCGGTCCGTCTACAAATTCTTATATAACTTGTCAGTTATGAATTTAACATAATTCTTTAAATTCTTTAAATATAGATAATATATTCTGTATTAGGTAAAAACGAATAGCGGTGAGATTAGAAAAATACAGTTTTGTAAGGCTGTAATAGCTGCAGGCGCGTTTAGTGGCGATGTAGCTGAATTGGCTGATATCGGAACAGGCGAAGAATTATTATCTGTACCTTTACCAGTGGTACCCAGGTAATTTTATTAACACAAGTAATTCAAATTTGTTGTTATTCTTTAATTTTTATCTATTACAATCAAAGTCTCTTTTTCTTTTTTACAGAAAAAGATATGTATATTGTTTTCATTGTCCAGATGGACCTGGTTTAAATACACCTCTAACAATTGATCCTAGTGGCACATATTTCAGGTATGAATTTAAATACTCTTGAATTATAATATGTACTTTTTTATCAAAAACAAAACAAATTCTTAACAAATGAATCAAATTATTAAAAGATAAATTTGTAAAAGAAAGAGTAACATTAAGAAATTGAATAAATAAATTTGAAATAATTTGTAGACGAGAAGGTCTCGCGGGTAATTATATCGGCGGAAAATCACCAGAACTCGACGAAGAGCCGTCGGTGGATAACTTAGATGTCGATCATGAATTTTTCGACAATAAAGTTTGGCCTGCACTCGCTCATAGAATACCATCATTTGAGAATTTAAAGGTATTTATTATCATAACAAGTAAACATACGCGTAAAGAAAACGTGAAAGTGATAAAGTTAATAATTTATATATAAGATATTTGTCATTCTTACACACAAATACGGATAATTTATATAAATATTAAATCCATTAATATGTCGCACACAAGTACACTAACTTTCTCTTTTTTCATAATATATATATTTCAACTTTTATATTTTTATCAGGTGAAATCTTCGTGGGCTGGATATTACGAATACAATACATTTGACGAAAACGGTATCATTGGTCGGCATCCTTATCATAAGAATTTATACATAGCGACTGGTTTTAGTGGACATGGTATTCAAAAGGCACCCGCAGTAGGACGTGCGATATCAGAGCTGATGTTTCACGATTGTTTTACAAGTATAGACTTGTCCAAATTGAGTTTTGAAAGATTTTTAAAATCGGAGCCCATGAGAGAAGCTAATGTCTTTTAGGTTTCTTGGGATAGAGAAGTAATAAAAGTAAATAGTTTTTTTTTTTACTCGAATGTGTATCATATATGTACCATAAATATTTGTATGTTATATATGTATATATATATATATATACATATATATATACACTCACATGTATATACATGTATAATGACAATATAAAAAACTTAATAATAGATCTATATTCTACAAATAAAGGACGATTAATTTGCTTAAATATGATACAATTTTCAGTTTACTATCACAATATAATATAATGTTTTCTTAATATACAATGTTTTATTATAAAATACTTAATATGACATGCAAACACAATGATTCAATAATGTTCATTTTAAAAATGCATGACTCGTATTTTCATGTATAGATAAAACTTGTCCCATATATACAGCAGCATCTTCTTCGCCTATGCTCTGCAGTATATTTTGCAGTTCACTGAGAGATATACTGGTTTGTATCTACAAAAAAATAGAGATTATGTAGTTTAATGATTTATTCCAGTAAGAATGTATGTATTCATAATAGAACATAGATGAAGATAGAATAATAATACAGAATAATACATGAAACATTCTACAAAAAAAAATAATCTTACAGCAATGTAATTCAAAAAGAGTAATGTTGAACTGGATGAACTCTCTTCAAACGTATTAAATAAATTTTCAAAATTCAAATGACGGGCTAATTTCCTCCATCCTTTTGTCTCATCTAGGATAGCTGCTAATTGTTTTTCCTGGATTGCATCCATCCAAACTTTTTGTGTATCATCGATATTTTCTTCTTTACATTTAATTGTTTCTAATGATGCATCACATTGACTGGAAACAAGCTGTAAGATCTGTAATAAAACAAATTTTTCTCATATATGTATAACTTTATAAGGTTATTATTACAATGATGAGATATGGAATATATCTTTTTCCCTTACATCTGGTTTGTTTAAGGCTAAGTCGAAAGATGATTGCCCAACGGATTCTTTCATGTTTTCATCATCCGAGTGTATTTCAGTTTTTATATTTTGTACTTGTTCCCTTTCAATCTATCATGAAAATACAATTACACATAATTAACTGTGTTTATATATATGTATATAGATTATGATTTATTTCAGGCAATTATTATAGACATACATTGCTTGGCTCACAATTAAAATTCCTTATATATGGATTAGCGCCATATTTCAATAGGAGAACACATATTTCTTTCGCTTTCATCCCAGGTGTAACTACCGCAGTATGTAACGCTGTATTTCCACTGAAGTTTCTTTTGTTAACATCTATTTTGGTCTGTAAGAATCAACACTGTACTGTAATATGGTTTTTGATATATAAACGCGTTTTCGATAAATATTAAATTTTACATTTTTTAACAGGAATTCCACTATATCTTTGTGACCTCCTTCGACCGCTATATGTAAAGCTGTTCTTCCATAAGACATATCAGTATTATTTACGTTTGCACCGGCTTTAACGAGAGAGCGTACTGCATAGTATGAACCCGCCTCAGCAGCTAATTGTAAAGGTGTCCACCCTAAATCTGTATTTGCTTCAATGTTGATTTTTTCTTCACTCAATAAAACATCAATACTTGCTTTCACTTCTGGAACTGAAAATGTATCTCTCATTATAGGTATATATTATGTATTATCTGCTACAGCTATTATAAAATATATGTATAAATATTTTTTACTTCTATTTATAAATCGAAATATTTTGATAAATTTCTATTTGTCAGATTTTCCTTAAAAAGAACATTTGATTGAAACATTTTAAAATTAGTACATACATTGAACAGCTCTGTGCAATGGCATTTGTCCATAATGGTCAGATATGTTTGGATCTGCACCAAGCATGAGCAATGCTTTTGTAATTTCTGCATGTTCTTGTGAAACAGCATAATGCAATGGAGTCTATGGCATATAATACGATATATTAAAAAATAATTCTTGTAATTATTAAAACAAGATATATATATTAGACAAAACATTAAAAAAGCTAACCTTGCCAGAACTATTTTGAATATTCACTAACTCTTCAGCATTTGTTTTTAGTACACTCATAAGCATTAGAATATGCTTTATAATATTTTTTTGCCCATATCGGAGTGCACAATGTAGCGGTGAATCACCATAAGTTGTTCTGTTTTTAAACATATGTATTATAATATCCTTAGATTTATCTGGGTTTGCTTTGATACTATTTATTGTATCGATAATAATATTTTTAGCAAACATTTCATCATCCTGTAGAAACATTAAATTCAGAATGACAATATTGGTGCAACAATAAGATAGTAATTATGAATTTATTCTATAAGCTGCATATATTGGAATTAAAGTTTACCTTTTTGCTTGATGCTCCATCATAAGTTAATTTATTTTCTTCGCTTTGGGTTACTAAACTCTCATACACTACAAAATTGAAGATATATATTGAATAACATGTGATATATTTTTTTAAAGATGTAACTTGAAACTAGTAAATCTTTTACTATGTATAGTTCGATACTTACATTCTAGATTTATGTGTTCAACAAAATCCTTGAACTCACTGGAAGAGCATCTATCCTCTAACATCTTTTTTATTTCTTTAGAAATTTCGGTACTTTCATTGCTTGAAGGTACATTCGTTAGTGGTGTATTCATTAACGGCGTATTCATTAACGGCATATCTGGATTACACGTCATTTGTGCTAATTCCCCACTATTCGAATAAGAGACTCGCGTTCTTTTTCTACCTGAAATTGTAAAATTATAATAAATTATACCGAGAAAAGAAAGTAATAAAAAAAAAGTAGTCGAAAAAAATAAAAAACAGGGATGTGATATTTCAGTCTCGCCATTAACGTACCTATCATACGATCGCTAGGCTTATATGTGAATTTAATTGCTTCTGAACAATCTGAATCCGAAGGACGTTCCAATTGTATGAAGACTTCTCTTGGAGAAGTAATATATAGATCCTTGTACGGTGGAGTTCTAGAAACACATAGTATAATTAATCATGAAAGAAAATAAAGCATATTTCAAATGCATAAAGTACATACCGAAATACCATGGCATATTGATGATGGACATCTAGTTCCGAGAAACGACCATAATCAGTCCAGATCTCAATGTCATCATCATTCAGTTCAAAAAACTTTATTTTTATATTTTCTATAATATGAAACATATGTGAAATATGTTTTTTTACAGTTTTGCATATGTAAATGTTACCGCCATAATATGCAGCATATCATAGTAGAAATATTAAATTACTAATTATGAACTTACTTTTTGAAACTTTCTCTACAAGTATGAACACTTCTTCTCCACCTTCACAGCTGCTGGTATACTTATCAATTCTGCATATTTTAAGCTCCCCAGTTAATGCGCTTTCTATTAAAATATTAGTATTACAACTTATTGAGCATTTTCATCGTTTGTGATATATATATACAAATAATAAATTTCAGAATTTTAATAGAAAAATTATTATAAAAACAGATTTTTTTATCATGATATATTATTTAAACTTACTTAAATTATTGATTGGATTGCTATAAACCGGCCTTGTAATTGATCTCATAACATTATGTTCATCTTTGATAAAACCTTGAAAACAGAGAGTGACTGTATTTAAATTTATAGTCTTCTGATAATTTTCCGCATCAGCTCTAATCTGTAATTAAGATAACATTTTTTAAAAAGTATGTTTAATACAATTGCCATTTTTTGGGGAGGATAAAAATATAAGTTCAATTATATAACAATTTCAAAGTGATAAAAGATATTAAAATCTACCTGTGCATTATCGCGGAGGCTAAGAGTAGCATTAATATTTGAACGCTTGCGTTCCTCTAAAATTGCTGCACATAATTTTCGTATTATTTCTTCTTTAATATTTTTTCTTGCAGTATGTATTATTCCCATACTATTGAATCTGAAGTAGAAACATACATCCATATAATATACTAATAAATAGACTAATAAATCAATTGTGTTTGCAATATTAGACAGTAGAAGATATAAACATACTCAGCTATAAAATCATTTGTAGGTGAAACTTCTATATCATGTGGATCATCTACATCCGTGGTACCCATACGTCTCACTAATCTATGAGCGTGCGGTATATGTTCGTCGTCCGTTGTAACCAATGTGCATCGTATTGTTGCTTTATCCAAAAAATGATGTAACTAAAAGTACAAAAAGTAACAAATAAGTAACAACATTGCATGAAGGTATTCTCACATAAATATATTGATAAATCTATTTGCATAGAATACAATATATACTTACTTGGACTGTTGGTACATTATTTTTATTCCGTCTACGTCCATTTGATACACCTAACAAACTCCCATGTGTCCCTACCATTTCAGATCTGTATCGAAATCTAAATTTATCCATTGGTTGCACCAAGATACTAATGTATGGTTCACCAAGTACTTGTATTAAAAAAATAAATAAAAATTTGATATACTCTCTTTAAGTATAGGAATATAATATATATATATACACACACACACACAGAATAGTTGGCAAACTAGATATCTTAGACAAGCTGATTTAGAATCAGAATATATACCTGTAGCATTGGATAGATTAATATAATTGTCTGTAACATGCATAGGTGACAAAGATGTTGACATAGGTGATGTAATGCTCATATTCTCCTGAGATTCACTGTATGGGCTTAGACCACTTGTACTGCCTATCAATGTCAAATCTGAAAGAAAAAAATGTATGAAATTCTTTTATATATACACGGTATATATTACTAAATATATTGTTAACTTTATATATATATAAACTTGTTTTAATAATTGTAATAATGCACAAATATAATAACATATAAGTATTTTTAAAAAATAAAATTTAATGTATTGAAATATACACACGGAGAGGCAGGTTGAGAGATATTCGAAAATGTTCAAAAACACAACAGACTTATAACAATTATTTCTAATGTGACATTTGCTGGGTAAACTGTGACATGATAATTTTTTATACTTTGAGATTTATTTTGATCACACGTGACACGTGAACAACTAATGATTATATTTAAATTAATTGGTATATATACGTCACGCAATCACGTGTCAAGATGTGTCCAAACAAGCGATTGACAATGATATAATCACACTGTATATGTATATGTACAACAATATTGTTTGTCGTGTAACGCGCATTTCTCTGCTACGACACTTGTAAAACACGCGCGTTACGTCAAGGCCATTAAGGCGCACACTCGCATTACCATTAAATGGAAAGTACGAGGGGTCCGCATCATTATCCATGATACCACTGGTCGTCAACATACTCCGCATCGCCATGTTAAAGTTCTCGTACGCATCAGGCATCTCAGCGATTATTTTCCTCACGGATATTGAAAGAGTGCGCGATCAAAAAGTGTATAAAATTGGGAAATTAATTCGTTCAGGTGTTACCGCGAGTACGATTGAATATCATGATTGAGTGGACGGGTAGAATTTGAGGTAGCCTCGTATTCGATAACGTTGCGATGCACGTCGCAGAAAGCTCGTTACTCACCGAAGGCGCGTAATCAACTGCCTTTATTTTCTGAATGCGTCAATCAAGCCAATGCGCCAAGGCAAAATCTTGATGACTAGGTATTGCGGGTTCTTCCCCGGGTGCCCGGGTATGGATAAGGCGCAATGACCAATCAGCGTGTATCAGGGTTTCCCTGACGATTAGGCGTGTGTCTGCGTCGCGCATGCCCCGACAAAACGTATTTAGGAATTTCCCATAATCTCGTTTTTTCAGACCCTGACCCCTTGCGATATTTTGATTATTTAATAATATGCATTTTTAATCTCTTGCGATTATCACAGACTTTTTTATACATTTTCTATATTTTGCAATGTCGTGGAAAAAATTATACTAATGAATCCCAAGGTGTACATTGAATATCATTTGGGTCTCACTAATATAAGGCTCATTGTAGTTATAATAATTTTCTTTTTCTTTTATGGATATCTGTCCCTTTTCTTTAAAATATAAAGTGACCATCATCCACATTTTTTTGCTTTTTACTCTTTTTTTCCAATATTCTATTTTAGTGAAAATTTCAAGAAAATTGCAAATGATATTTTATACATTATAAATGCAAGTTGATAGAATTTTTCATTAGACAACGAAAGATGATTAATTAGTGAAGATGGATAGTTGCTTGCATTGACGAACCTGATCTCGCGAGTTTTTGATTTTTCCCTATACACCATAGAATAATACAGCAACATTGGCACTGTATAGATATCTTTAAAGTACAGGGCAAAGATCTTGGATTAATTCTGATTAACAAAAGTCAATATTAGTACAATTGATTAGATTGTGCAGAATATGAAATTGTGCGAAATATCACATTGCAATTTTATTAAAAACAAAATGCTCTTAAATATTGTAAAAATTACCATATATATATAAAGGATTTTGTTAAAGAGCGGAGAGGACCAATATATATAAAATTAAAAGAAGAAAAAGACAAAAAACTTTGGAAAAAATGTGACATAAAAAAGTATAAAGTACATATATCGATTTTATTGTACATAATCATGAATATCGCAAACATTTTTAGTTACTGAAAAATTTCTAAATTTGTTACATATGCCATTACAATATCTCCGATTCTTATTAAAATTAGATGCATATTAAAATAAAAATTTTTAAGTAATATTTTCTTGCAAACTAAATTAATATTACAATCGTCAAATATATAGATCATACATAAAATTGTATGCTAATTTTGGATTTGAAGATGCTACTTTATCCTAGAGAGAAGTAATCAATACAGAATTAATTCATTTATTTTGCACAAAATAGGCACGATTATCGACTTACTATTTTATCGTTTTCAGGCGCTTGTTTATAGCTTGTTTGACGTGTTTTTAGCAAGGTAACAATGTTTCAAGATGTCGTTGGCGAATGCCTATGATAACTCTTTCAATATAATCCACTACATTCTTATACAAAGCTCCATTAAGATACATGGGGGGGATTGATAATATGAACATATATATATATATATATATCGCACCTTTATCGAGAGACCACATTCTTAAACGTTGAACTCCATTAATTATACAACTCATAGAAACACTTTCGCAGACATCCGATCAACACCCATCCAGTAGCAATGTCGACTAAAAATGAGAAGATCGGGATAATTGGCAGGTAAAGTATTGTAATTAGCATAACTGCAAGCTATAACAATGAAGCAAATAAGTCCGTTCTTACTTTCAATTCTAATAAGCAATTAACCGTGACTATTGTATAATTACGAATTATTACTATTTTTTAATTTTTCAACTTGTGTTTTATTACTGATAAGCTTATGATTATCTTAAAATAATAAGATCGTTGAAAAATTGCATCAATTTTCGAGCATAGAAAGTTTTGACTTTTTTCTCATAATTTTCCTTGATTTTGCTTAATTTTTTTTCGAATTATTTAACAATTATCGTTTTAATATTCAGTCTTTCAATTATCATTTCAGTAATGATTAAAGCAGTTAGCGACTTAGATTGGTATAAAAATAGTATCAATATTCGATATATACAATATTATAAAATATTGAAGTTACAAAAAAACTTATATTTCAATGACTTTACAATCAATTTTCATGACGATTGTTAGCTTAGAAAGAAAAAATTACAGAGGCCTTATTCTCGAAAAATATCGCATACGATATTTTTTGAGAATATAGCCCCTGTAATTTTTTTTTCTTAATTGTGTATAACACGAGTCACACGAGATATTAAACAAATGAAAAATATACCGAAAAAAATAAAAAAGCTGTAGTAGCATAAAACGAAGATATATATAAAAGAATGAATTATATTTTATAATCTATCTTTTTCAATTTTAGTTATGTACATATAATTATTCTTTTAGCACGTTCTATAAAAATAATAAATTTATATATTCCACAGCATTAATATTTCAACACATTAATATACAATATTATTATAATTTTATTATTCGATTATCACATCGTGTCATTGATTCTTTTCAAGTCGTTAAATTACGATCTTTTATGAGAAAGGTAACATAATTTTCAAATAACTGCGTTCTTTTTAGTAAGTTATACTCGTCCGAAGATAAGATAATACGCGCGATGTAAACAACATTTTTTGAAATTAAGTCTGATACAGAATGACGTAATTCTGTCTTGTGACTATTATATAATTTTAAATATTATAATAATTTTTATAATAGAGATACACACACACATTTCATAAAAAAAGATAAATAATATAAACTAATATTGACAAATACATAGAGTGTAAATATTAATTAAAACTGAAGTATTAGAATATGTTTTTTCATGAAATTAATCAATTATCTTTATCTTAATATTTATTTCAGCGGCTTAATCGGACGCAGCTGGGCGATGCTTTTCGCCAGCGTAGGGTATCAGGTGACCATTTACGACATTGTCCTGGATCAAATTAGGAACGCATTGGAAGACATCGGTCAACAATTGAATCGCCTTGAAGCTGACAATCTTCTCCGGGGTACATTGACGGCGGACCAGCAATTTAAACTGATAAAAGGTCTATTTTTTGTCTCGTGACTCCTTATCACAGTAATCATTCTTGCCGCTAACATGAATTGCATTAATTTCGTAATAAGAGATTCAAAACAACAAGGATTTCGCGTCTTTGATACGGTAGGATAGCATTTGAGAAACTTAATTGAGAATCCTTTTCGTAGGTTCTTCCGATCTGGCGGAGACTGTAAAAGGTGCAAAATTAGTCCAGGAATGTGTGCCAGAAAATCTTTCATTAAAATTGAAAGTCTACAACGATCTCGACAAGGTTGTCGACGACAAAGTGATCTTGTCTTCTTCGACGTCTACGTTCCGTCCGTCTCTTTTCAGTGAGAAGCTGAAACACCGTGAGCAGATCATAGTCTCTCATCCTGTACGTATTTTTATACTTGTAGCAAATATGATATCGAGATTCTCTTTGGTAAACCTCTATATTATACCAACTCGATTAATGTAATAAATAATATTTATGTATAAGAATTTACATATAAATTTAGTCATAAAATATAAGATTTATAAAAAAAAGATTAGATAGTAAGTCATAAATTCTGACATATAACAAATAATTATTTTTGCTAAACAAATGATTTAATTATACTGATTACAAATAAATTAGAAGAGGTATTTACTATTAATGAGTGTGTGTATATGTGGGATAATTTTTTGTAAATATATAAATAAGTCATTAAAGATGCTAAAAAAAAAATTATTAATGTAAATTGTTATATGTATGTCATAAGTTATTGTTTTTAGATGGTTATTACATTATATTGCAAAAATACACAGGTGAATCCCCCTTACTATGTGCCACTGGTGGAGATAGTGCCAGCTCCATGGACACGTCCTGACATTCCTGAGAAAACGAAGACCATTATGACCGAAATTGGCCAAAAACCTGTTGTCTTCAGCAGAGAGATTGATGGTTTTGCAGTCAACAGAATACAGTACGTAATCAGATACTGTTTCCTAATATAATACAATACAATCGATATGTTGCGCAATACGATACTATCTTTGGGCAATCATTATCATTTAATATTTGATATCTAAAAAGATCATATTAATAGATATGCGATCTTAAATGAAACCTGGAGATTAGTGGCTGATGGAGTGTTAAGTGCAAAGGATGTTGATGCGGTGATGAGTGAAGGTCTCGGAATGCGTTATGCTTTCCTTGGTGCCTTTGAGGCTGCACATTTGAATGCCGAAGGTAAGCTAAGTGACCAGATGCAAGAGGATCGTTATTAAGCCTCCTGTCTATACTATAAAAAGAAACGAACAAGATGGTCTTTTTTACAGAGAGGCAATTCATGTTATAATATATTGTTTTATAGGAATGAAGAAGTATTGCGAGACGTATAACAAATCAATCTATGATGTGAGTATGACTTTCGGACCAGTACCAAAATTTGTGGGAGAAATGGCGGAGAAAATCAGCAACGAATTGAACGAGATGTGCCCACTCGATAAATTAAAGGAACGACGAGCATGGCGCGACACTGCTTTGACAAAATTATCTATACTCAAGAAAGAATTAAATAATATCGAACAGTGAAAAGATACTTATTAAACAGATTTCATGCAATTAAGTTTAAAATATCTTTTGTAAAAAATAGTTCTACAACAAAATAATTTTACTAAAAGAAAAATTTTATCCTGACTATATAGAAACTAAATGTAAATTGTACATATGTAGTTACAATAAACTATATTTGTTACTCGAAATCTGCGTATATCTCCGTGTCTTGGAATTTTATTCATTAATTTTTATTGTCTATATTACATTAAAAAAAATCAAATAAAAAATTGGTATTATTTTACTTTATTTATATATAATTACAGCTTTTTAACGCTTTCCTCCGACACGGGGTGCAGATTTTTGTGACACCTTAGCTACTTTCTGTTTAGATACTTGTTTTGCTTTCGGAGGGGCAACAGCTTTCTTCGTTGCTTTTGCTGCTCTCTTCTGCTCCTTTGCTGCCCTGAAAAGTAACAATCAACATTATTATTACATAATATTACATAATATTATATTGATTGTATGAACCCGCAAAAACCAGACAATGTAATCAAAAATACAGTTCTGGGTGAAGCAGTCCATTTTTATTCTAAGACTATCTGAAATCTGATATAGTATAAGAAACATCATCAGAGGAACAGATGTCTATTGCAAATTATTTATCTTCAAGTAAAATATGTTTAATAATGTTTAATTTTGTCACTTTTAAATAATTTTTCTAGAATTGATAATTTTTTAATAACAATTGAATAGATATAATGAAAAGAATACATACTTGATCGCTTGTTCTCTCTGAGCTTTACGAATTTCTGGTTTCATGTTACGTTTGGCCAAGATATCTGTGAGAGAGGCACCCACAATAGCACGCTGGAACTTTTGAGCACGTCTCGTCCTTTTCTTGGTCTGTTCTTCCTCCTGACCTTTTTTGTGTTTACGTCTGAAAAATATATAAAATTTAACAAAAGTACGAAAAATTACATTTGCTATAAAGCAAAAAATATTTATACCTGTATAGAACAGTCCATGTCACTTTTCTAGGATTACGCCTCATCAAGTGTGCAGACTCGCATTTTGAGTTGAGGAAAGTGAAAGTCTGGAAAAGCGAAGGAAAGGAAGGTTATGTTTGACATGTGCACTGATAAGTAAAGTAAATTGTATTTTTAACTTCTTTTCAAAGATTTGTCGTGATAATTAAGTTACGATGCTGTAATTAATAACGACCTTATTGTCGTTCTAGCGGTACTCACCTTTCCGTCAACTTTGACCATGGTCTTGCCATGGCCCGGATATATTTTGTATCCGCTATACGCACAAAGACCGATCCTGTAAAGATTGAAGATACGTTAATCACAGACATAGCGTTCACCCGATGAGCCACGTTTTCGCTGTACATACAACGAGATTGCATCGCAAACGTTGGATATACATTTCGTATTAATAATTCTAACTTACTTCATTTTGATATGACGCGAAAGAAAGGTCTCGACAAAAATGGCCGAAGTTTTCCTGTTTCGTGAGCATTGAAAGAGCGCATTGTAGAGTGCGCTTTCGTCAATCGAATTTTCATGAGACTATAAATACAGAGTGCGTTCCACTTTATGTTGAAAATGCTTCGAAGCGTTTGATTGACCAATCAGGATAAAGAAAGCATTGCCTCTGATTGGTCGATCAAACGATTCGATGCAACTGCAACGTCAAGTGGCGACTCCACACTCTATGTTTATAAAACATACTATTCATTCTCTCGGTTCTCTTCCGTTGGCTTGACGTTCGAAATCTATCGAAGAAAGCGATATATCTCGCAGTACCAATTACTCAATTCCTCTTTTCCTTTTTAACAATCGACACATCTCCCATTTGAATCTCGTACTTAATATATTTTGGTAAGATAATCTGATAATTATATAATATATTATCGAATAGAAATGATGTGAGAAATAAACAAGTAATTTCAATTTGAAAATGCTAGAGTGTGAGAGAGTCGCGAGAGAGTGTGAGAAAATGGTTTAATTATATTATATACAAATTTAATATATCCAGGCATAATAATAATAATTCTTATATTCAGAACTGCAAATTTATTCGATTTTGCTAAAAGGGTCTTATATATTCCGTATTTTTTTTTCTACATTTTACTTGTGGGATTAATGACTAATGACTTGCTTTCTCTCTCTCTCTCTCTCGCTTTCTCTGGTTTAACAGCTCGTTAAAGATGTAGCAAGTTTAAATAATAAATATTTCATAAGCAGTAAAAGCAAGTTTTACTAAAAATATAATACGGTTATTTAAATTATTATGCTGATTTTGATTATTATTACATGTAATTTTAAGAAAAACAAAAAACACAGTACATAATATATAACATCTTTTAAAGCTTTTTTTATTCAAATTTAGCATTTAGTTTGCACCAGAATCATATTACATATAATATATATCTTTTTTCTTTATTGCTCCATTGAGCGTCTCGAATTTATCTTTCATAGCCTCTTAATTCTTTGTGTTTGCATATTAGTAATTTTATATATAGTTATATCATTAAAATAAATATATAAAAGTTCAAAATTTGAATCGAAAAAAAACGAGGAAATAAGAAGCAGAAAACTTGTGAGAATACTAATAAAGGCCAATCGGAATTAGGTTTAATAAGGGGAACGTCTCAAGAGCGAAACAATCGAACGTTTGTGTTTCATCGTGCCCGTGATAAAATGGCATCCGCATCTTTCAAGGGCACCCGCAAGACGTACAGCTTCGAGGAACGGAAAATTCTGATATCGTTAATAAATAAGCACGAGATCATCGAGAACAGGAAGTCGGATCCGATCTCCATATGTAAGCGGAAGTCTGCGTGGTCGCAAATCGCCGAGGAGTATAACTGGATAGTCGGGCCGCAGGGTGCGCGTTCTGCGGTACAGCTCAGACGTTGCTGGGAGAACATGAAGGCCTGCAAGCGCAATCGCGAGGAGAAAAAATCCCGGTAAATTAACTTTAAATAACAAAACAAATATTCGTAAAGTCGAATTAATTAAATCTGAAATATTAATGATTAGTTAATAGATATGAAAAGAATTTAATGAAATTTTGTATTGTTCAGGATTTACTTATAGAGATATTTCGAATATTGACAATCAGAGAATATACGGAAAAGATGGTGCCGAATAAAATCTTTGTTTGTGAAAAATCTCTTTCAATTTTTTTATCAAATACTACTACTGATATTATATAATTATTACAATGATATATATTATAATATTTTCTATTATTATTTAACATTATATTTTTATGTAATATTCTATTATATAGATTATAAAACGCAACATAACAATTATAAAAAGTAATTTTATAAAAAATTGATGTAAAGTAGAAAAACACAAAATATATTTAAATGCTAAATCTCTTGATCTTTTAGTGATGGTACGAAAGCGGTTTGCCAATTGACGAAAGATGAGAGACGGGCAAAGAACCAATGTTGGGAGGGTGTAACTTGCGGGCAGAATACATCGGAAGCGCCAACGTCCACCGGAACTGTCGGATTACCACCGAACGTGGTATTTGAGCCGAAAGATTCGGAGCCGTTTACGTTGCAAAGCGTTTGCACTGCCAGACCTCAAAATTTGAGCTGTTCGCGAAAGGACGCGGATAATTGCAGAGACTTAGGTAAATACATTTCTTCTCGCACATTTGTTTAATATAATTATAAAATTAAAAACACATAGAGAGAAAGTTTGCTTATTAAATTTGATTTTATGTAGTTGGCGACACATTCAAGCAAATTATTGCCAATGGGAATAAATGCGATGCCATTGCATCGGTCCACGATCCGATGAGTGATTATTATGAGAAGTTTGTGAAAACAAACATGGATTCACCTGTAGTCGATCAATCGACAGAGGATGGCGTTGACAGGAGTCACGAAAATTCACGGCCGACTACTTCGCAAACTTTAGTCTCACCCTCCGTTATGCAGGAGCAGAATCGCAAGAGAAAGTCGGCGCAACGAGAAGAAGAACTGCACATGCTTGCGCTCTCAGAGGCGCAGATGAAGGTCGATATTGCTGCTATGTTGAAGGAGGAGGCGAAAATCAAGCTGGAGGAGGCTCATTATCGCAAGGAGGAGGCCAGACTTAGAATGCTGCTGTTTACTTACAAACTGGACAGAAAGGAGGAGGATTGAGAAATTTAAGAGGATTAACAAAAATCGGTCATTTTTGTTTGACGCAACATGTAAGTCTACTATCTTTCTTTATTTTTGTTGTTGATGATCCTGATGTGGGTGCTCAGAGGCAAGATCGGTAATGCAAGAAATAAACGTATAGTTGTCTCTATGTAATACAGATTTACTTCTTATATAAATGCAATTATAAAATATAATAAATATAAATTTTCTGATCATATTGCTCGCTAGTAGTAAATAATAACTATTACATTATGAGATATTATTTGGTTTGTGACCATTGCAAAGTCACAATTTTCTATGAATGTAGACGTGACGGGGAATTGACAAAAATCCGAAAAGTATAAAAAAAATAATTTCGATGTTTACGCTTCAGTTCATATGTTCAAGTTAATCATTTTTGGATAAAAAAGTACGTGTAGAGAACCTACCATGTTTTTTTTGGATACAAAAGATACAGCCATGAAGGATGAATTTATTTAATTCTACAAGACACATTCAATGAATTTATCATTTTATCATATTGTCGCAGAATTAAATGTACTACTACGAGTTTTCTTTGCGCGTGCACCTTAAAATACTCTTGATTATTTAAAACTTAAATTTCTATATTACGACAAGCTATTTTGCAGTCATTGTAAAATGCCATCTGAAAAAAAGTGATATATGATATTTTTAAAGCATTTTTAAGGAATGGCTTTGTATAAAGCGATATCTTTAACTTCGCGGTTACTAGTGTTAATGTTACGTATATAAATATGGATTCTAAATTAAATTATCTGTTAGATGAAATAATGAAAATCGATCTAGATTATATTTGAAATTCATTTAAAGAACTATCGATAAATGCTTGATAGTCGTCAGTAGTGGAACTGGCAGTGTTATTATTGACTAGTGGCAGAATAGGTCGTAATGGATACTGAATTTCGCGGATTCATTATAGTTGGTTTCGTATACGTTCATTAAAGTATATAAATAGAGCGAGAATCTTAAAGCGGGCCTCAAGGCTGTCGCCGTCACGAAGGCGATCCAATCCCGGAAACACGTAGTTGTCCACTGGACAGCTGCACAAATTTCCGTTGGAGTTACGCGCGTGGTGCGAAATTTCCTCGGGGATAATTTAATTTATTGAATGTAATTAATATTTAGTTATTATATACATATAACTCAAATATCCGTGATCTCTCGAAAAAAAGCCAAAGTAAAAAACAATAGAGTATTATGATATTGAATTGACTCCAATAAGGATAATATAATATGTAACATTAATGGCGTTTTTTTATATATTATAATTTCATATACAATTAGCATATCTCTTGTTTTTTACGTAAAATTTATATTCATTTAGGGATTTTTAAGAAATTTGGTTTTCCTTACCCGTATCTGTCTATCAGTTGAACGCTTCTACCAGAGTAAGGATCTCTTGCAATAACATTGGTAGCGAATATATCTGTTACGTAATTGTATCTATGAAAAATAATAATTATTAAAATCTGAATAAATAATTATAATGTTTCGAGTACTTCAAATTATATATACAAAAATTAATTTCAAAGTCAAACAACGGTATGAATACGATGAAATATGTCACGATTTTCTATCTTTATATTATCTTTATTTTTATTAAAATCTAATTAAATTTTGATTATATATAATTTATTTAATATCGATTTTCTTATATATAATTGTAACGAAATAAATGAAGATTACCCGTCCTGAGATTCGAGTCTGAAAGTAAGAGGGTCACCAACAGCGATAGTGGTCGTAGGTCTACCTTGATAGAGAATCATCAAGCGTACTTTGGAACTTAGGGTATTTTCCGCTGGGAGGTATTCAATGGGGATGGGAGATCCTGATCTGCACAGCATGTACGAATCCCATCAGTGAAATTGGAAGTGGAAGTTATTAAATAATGTGTATAAAGATACGAAAAGTAAAGCTGATAGCATAAATCGGTGCTTTAATTAGTTCGCGTTTTTAAATTTTAGTTTTAATAATTGATATGTATATAATATAAATTATTTTTCAATCTTGTGCAATCAGATGTTAAACTTTCAATTTATTTAGGAAATAAAATAATTATCAATTGTGTGTTACAGTTAATAATATAAAAAACAAAGAAGTTTGTAATATTAATTAATAAATTATAATTATTTGTTTTCTCTCAAAAAACGACGGTTAGCGTAAATGTAGAAGATTTGTTATGTATAATATAATATAAAAGTATAGGCAATATTGTCGAAGAAAATAGAGAACATGCTTGACATTTTCGAATGACATTTCAAATTATACGTGCTATAAAGGAAATTACACAAACGTGGCATTTTAACGAACGTGCTTGCACCTATATACGGATATACTCGCCCACGAAAGGTACATAGAGCGTTTTACTTCACTCGCAATAATTCGTTAAGTATTATAGATGGATTTATATTAATATAAAAAATTAATAAGCAATAAGAGTCTAGAATAATTTTGCTACAATGCCGTAACATTTTTTTTGATATAAGGACAAAGAAATTCTTGATTTAAAATTATTTTGTCACAAACTAGTTTTGTGTATGAAAAATATAATTTGACAGAATTGTGTGCGAGCAATGAAGAATATTATTAATTTTATTTAAAGATATATTTCTCGATATGATCTCATCGTGATTCAATGTACATCACCAGGGAATACGCTATGGCATCTTAACGCGTTAAAGATCGTATTCTCGGTGCAAGACACGACCTCTCGATCGATATGACCTGGCATACCCGGCACCGATGTAGCCGGACGTGACGACAGCCTCACCAGGTCCACGAAATAGGCACGTCAGGTTGAATCGCTTATCTCGTCCAGTTTGCACGTAGTCCGAAAATTGCACCACCACGATGTTCGTCATTGTATCACCGTACTGCAAGCATTCGTGTCACTCATCCCAAAGTGATTATTGTGTTTATAATTACAACCCGACATCAACAATTTCTTTTAAATACTATCGAGAATAAATAATTTATCAGTTAAGAATTTGAGAAAAAACTGCTGCTATAATAATTATTGTGATATATATTGTGATATATATTCAAATGTCTAATTAAGAAAGTCTACTAGAAGGCTAAAACTATGCATAAAGTAATTTCAGATATCGAGCAGTTTGTGACAAGTTTAAAGTTGTTTATCAACAGGGCAAAAGTTTTTAGCCCAGATTAAATCGGAGATTACTTGTGGATCAAGTTGTTAAGCGGAAATTGCCACTCTTACTCGCTGTGTGCCGCACTCGGGGTATCCCTGTGGTCCGCTGATACGAAGCACATTCACGGTCCCACCATTTCCGCGGAAGAAGCACCGATCGTAGTATCCGTACGTGTAAATTCGCCCAATGAAACCCTCCGGCGTCCTCAGAGTAAACTCCATTCCATCTTCGCTACAGACTTGACTTACTAGAAGTGTAACAAAGTGCAATTCATTGGGACGAGCGTAGTTTCGAACCGAGAGAAGTACAGTGTTAATTAAACCAAAGTTAATTATACCGAAATTAGCGTTAGTGAAGGAATACTAGAAGACAAAAGGAAGTGATAAAATCTGAATAAAATCTGATAAAATAGATCAGTGTTAAATACGCAATCAACATACTATTGTTTATTGTTGTTAAAAAGTTATTAAGTTATTAGGAAGGAATATAGGAAATTAACGATAGTCATAAAAGTGCGTCATATCGAGTTTTGGAACGTAACTTGCATTGATGTGTAGGTATTGATAATATAATTGGTTGCATATATGCAAGGTGCGAAATATTTATTGAAGGAAAAGAAGTGTATAAATAAAAAAAACAGTATTAGATTTATTTCGTAAAAGTGAAATAATGCGCGATACAATAGTGCAATATTGTATATACATACAATGAATAATTATTAATGTGCAACTTCATTACTAAAAAATGATTTATTCTATGGATCAAATGTCGTCGAAACCAGGATAAGTCTCATTATTTTTTACGATAAAATTTTTACAAAAGAATGAATGTAAATGTGAGTTTGGATATATTTTATTCATTTTTCTCGAGCACGAATATTCCAGAAAAATTTTATCTTGGTTTCTACGTGCACGAGAGAATTTTCCAATTCTTGTAATCAGCGCCTTACGGACGGACTAGGCGCTTACCATCCAGACATTCCCCGTCCGCACCCTGACGACCGTTGTTCCTCTCGTAGAAGTCGTAATCGGAGCCCGTGTCATAATAAACTGGGTTGCCCATGTCCATGTCCCTGGAGTCCCGGTCGCTGAGCTCGCAATTGTCCCTCTCGGCACCATAAGGCGCGGCGTAGGGCCGGTAATTGAAGGATCTGCAAATGACGTTGGGAATTTGCGAGCATCGTCCAATCGATCGCGCAAACAAACGCTGCCGGATCATTCCTAATTTAATCTCAAGCTCCCTTGATATCAGACATCTTGTGAATTATAACTATCGAAATTTTACATCCCACCGTTATACATTACATCACACTTTTGTAAAAGGTTCTTTCTTTTACAGAATTGATTATTTTTCTGTTTCATATATTCGGATCAATCAATTAAATCCGATTCCATGTAGAAAGAGATTGTTCTTCTATCTACTTTAATTAATATTTTACAATTTTTAGAAAAGTTTATATATGTCTGATATAATTACTATCACATCATTATTATAAAGTGTACTGATTTAGATCGAATAATAGCTCTTGTTATTATTTGAAAAATAACTCATTTTACGTAAAAAATATCAAGGTATGTTTTATTTTTTCTCTTTTTTTTTAAATTATATAATCACATAAAAAATGACAAAGAAAATCTTATCTATGTAACAAAAGAATATCTTTCAAAACAGATATTCGAGAATCCAACAACCCATTCAGTGCATAAATATTAATATAAATTATTTTCTAATTTTAGCTACCCATTATTTCTACAAGTTTTATCATTATTATTACCTGCAAACGAAGTCTCTAGCATCGGCGCATTCTCTCTCGCACTGAGCTAGCGACGAGGCAGTGGTATATCGTCTGACAAACGGCTTTCGCACCCTAGTGTGAGGTCCGACTTGTCTAAAGTTATCCTGTTCGTCGCATCTGGATATCAAGGGAGGTCTGCCTATGATGGGCCCGCCGGCGGTACCAAACGGACGAGTGTTGTAGACACCACCTTCGCCTATGTATCCGCCACCCACGATACCGCCGTCGCTACCATAGCCTCCGTATCCTCCAGTGGGTCGCGCAGCCGGACCGTAAGGCCCAGGAGCATAGTGAGGTCGTGGCTCGGGACCATGGCTTTGAGGGCCGCGAACGTCATCGACAAATCCGTGCGGATGCATTCCTGGCGGCGGATACCTGCTGTTTATCGATTCAAATTGTCAATCTTTTTGTTTTATTGTGAAATTGTGCCTTTAAAATTAAAATTCTTAATGCAGAAAAATGATTATAAAAAATTAAAATATGTGTGAAATTAATATTTATGTTTCATATTATTATATAATTGCGTTTAGTTTCGCAACTCACCGATTGGCATAAGGATCCTTGTCAGGATATCTGCCACTGGCTGGATACCGATCGATTGGAATTCGATCGCCGCCTAATGCCGTAGGATATCGATCCAATGGATCTTCTGAGAAAGGATACCGGTCGATCATATTCGGGTATCGATCGCTGACGTCGACAGGATACCGGCTCGGAGTTGACGGATATCGAACACCATGTATTACAGGATATCGCCCATTTGCAGGATATCTGTCTAATGTTCCGGAATCGGGCATAGGATATCTATCGCTGCCGATAGAAGGACGATCTCCTCCTCTAACGGGATATCGATCGGAAATCGGATATCGATCTGAGATTGGATAACGGTCTCCAATTGGATAACGATCAGAAGAAGGATAACGATCTCCTGTAGGATAACGATCTCCTGTAGGATAACGATCTCCTGTAGGATAACGATCTCCTGTAGGATAACGATCTCCTGTAGGATAACGATCTCCTGTAGGATAACGATCTCCTGTAGGATAACGATCTCCTGTAGGATAACGATCTCCTGTAGGATAACGATCTCCTGTAGGATAACGATCTCCTGTAGGATAACGATCTCCTGTAGGATAACGATCTCCTGTAGGATAACGATCTCCTGTAGGATAACGATCTCCTGTAGGATAACGATCTCCTGTAGGATAACGATCTCCTGTAGGATAACGATCTCCTGTAGGATAACGATCTCCTGTAGGATAACGATCTCCTGTAGGATAACGATCTCCTGTAGGATAACGATCTCCTGTAGGATAACGATCTCCTGTAGGATAACGATCTCCTGTAGGATAACGATCTCCTGTAGGATAACGATCTCCTGTAGGATAACGATCTCCTGTAGGATAACGATCTCCTGTAGGATAACGATCTCCTGTAGGATAACGATCTCCTGTAGGATAACGATCTCCTGTGGGATAACGATCTCCTGTAGGATAACGGTCTCCAGCGGGATATCTATCGGGATATCGATCGCCGAGAGGATATCGGTCTGGATAATTGTCCGAATCGCCTGCAGGATATTGTCCAGGATACTTGGTATCTGGATATCTGTCGTCTAAAGGACGACGATCGGGATAACGGTCCGGATAGCGATCGGGATGGCGATCAGGATAGCGATCTGGGTATCGATCTGGATAACGATCTGGAATACGATCTGGATAGCGATCGGGATAACGATCCGGTTTAACGCTGCTGGAGTATCCTTTATCATAATCATCCGGGTATCCTAAACATAATATTTATCTAATATTTATATTTCAGTAACATTTATATCTAGTGAAAAAGAAAAGTGGAGAGAGAAAAAGATTATTCTCAAAATCTTACTATATATTATGATTATTTATATGCATATAATATATTTTATACTTTCAAATATAACACATGGAAGCTTTTCGTAATGAACAGATAAATAATGAAAAATCATAAACATTGATGTTGAAAGTGCTGCTGTTTGATTCTATGTTAAGAGAGAAAGAGAGATTAAACGCGAGTAGAAAAAAATTAACTTAAGATTTGATAATCACATTTGGCGCTAAATATATAGTGTAAATACAATTTGAATTTAGCTTCAGTATTCCAGCAAATACATTAGATTTACGAGACTATTCCGACAGACGAGGTGTGTTTGCAATCATAATTGTGTCTAATAAATGTATCATACGTATGCTCGAGAATCTCTTATTTCATTAAAGCAATTTTATGCAACTCAGTAATTCTATGAATAAATAAGAAACTTTATACGATGAGTTGACGCATGGTATGCTGAATTAATAAAACAATTCTAACCCGGTCTTCCTAAAGAGGGTCGTCCAAAGTTTGTGTCCTGTCCCAGAGGATCCGGTCTGTATCCAGGGCCATCGCGATCGCCGTCTAAATATTGATCTGTCGGCACAGTACGTTATTAAACATTAAACACACGACATGAAACTCCATCCAAGCGGATCCAAGAAATTCGCGAAAAGCGCAGTGCGCGATTGTGCAGTGATATAGATCAATCTATCAACCGACGTAATCGTATGCGAAGGATGAATGACATTAATCTCAAATTTCACGCAGGTATAAGAGCAAAGTCAAGCATATACACACATATTTATTTTTTATTATTATTATTTCTACTTATTAATCTTTTATTTTTATTAATATGTTAATTGTGTGCTGAAATTTTTTACCTGATGCGTGTCATTAAAAAGGATTGTTACGAGAAGCATAGAATGTTCACAAACTGTTTATGGCTTGACATCTCGCGATTGATGAACAGGTGGATCGATACTCACGCATGAGATTCTCGTAATAGTCGTAATCAGCATCGTAGATAATCCTGTGACCGTCCCGTTGATTAAATCGGCTCAATCGACAGGTATGATAATGCTCGGAGTAGACGGCACTACGGCATTGGAAGCTTGTTTGCCGGAGACACTCATCAAGGCACTCGCTGAGGCTGCGTCCAGTAATCTCCGAATGGAACTCACCGCTTAAGCGCGAGTTCCGATAACGCTGGAAGGCCGTGTCAGGACGTCGACCGTCGGAGAACATGTGCGACGTCGAGCTGCTGTCCGGGTATTCCGAACCGCGCGCTACGGACGGATCTACGTTTCGTAAGTGATGCATTGATAACGAATTGTGAATCACCAATGGACCATCGTTATTTAATGTTACACCCTGTTATATATATGAAAATAGTACGAAGCATGTATGGAAGTCCTTCCGATTCATCAATTTTGCACGATTAATTTGTGTATTATACAATTTTACTAAAATTATGCAGTCAATTAAATTTTTATTGTTCACTAGAACCGAGTTAGTAAATTAGTAAATTTATACGAAATTTAGCGATTAGTAAAATTTAGTAAATTATAATTTTAGTAGTAAACTTAATAAGAGAAAGTAAAAAACTTAGCAAAGGATTAATTTTTTTAAATATAAAAATTAATTTTTCTTTATTTTATTATAAATAATACTCTATTTTATAATTCTCATTTTATTTGTTACGACACGTCTATCGAACATTATATAATATAATAAATTTTTGCATGCTAAAAATAAAACAGATAAAACAAGCTAATATCAAATACTAAAAAATTAAAAAATTAAAATTTTCCATACACTCACGATTATCTAAGCAGACGAGATCGTAAAAGTGATGGCTGGGACTGCTACTGATGCCGATGTCATCTTTTTGCGAAACCGAATCTTCCTCAGATATGACACACTGTCGAGTTTGCTCGTCGAACTCGACGCTTCGACAGAAATATTTCTCCGCCCTAAGACATAGCGCCTGACATTCGTCCAAAGTAAGGTTTGTGTAAATATCCACTTCAAACGGACCGCGTAAACGTTTATTTTCTTCTTTGACAAATACAGCGAGGCCGTCACATCGTCGCTCGGCTAGTCAAAGTTAAGAAAATATTTCTTTATTTAGATATATCAATATATGATTGAAATATTACTTGTGATATTTTTTGATATGTTTAATATTGATATATTAATTAAAATACATTTAATATATTTTAATAATATTATATGTTTTCTTATGCAATATTTTTAATTATTATAAGAAAATTTTTCACACACATATATATATATATAGTTTTGAAAGAATATATGTGAATATCTATTATATATAAAAATGCTAATAAAATTTACCATTGAGGCAAGTATTTTCCAGATAATCAGAATTCGGATCATCCTCCAGTAATTCGGGATGAGTTCTTCTTGTAAAACGACTGAGAGAACAGCTTCTCAAGGCAGTGTCATACGTCGCTGATCGGCAGACGAAACTGAACTCGTTAAGACACCTAAACAAAAAATTATTTCTTGTAAGACATGCATTATATATATATATATTTTAATCTTTGCATGTATATACCTGTCCTCACAATCGGTTCTGTTCGCAGCACTGACTTCTTTGATGTCCGTTAAGGGTAGCTTCAGCTTCTTCCTTGGATGCCTTTCAAATACATAACGACGGTTTGGGCATTCCCTCTCTATCCTATCAGCTGAGAATCAGAGACAAAACCTTAACTTCTAAAAAAAGTAAGTGGAAGTAAATCCTAATTATAAAAATTTCATATTGAATACGCAAACAAGAAAGATTTCTAGATCTTCTCATAAAAAATTATTTATTTGCAAATTCTATTCTAAAGCATCGAAAAACATTACTTCAATTTTCTCCAGACGAGTAAATTCATAAATTTTGCAGCTAATATTTTAATTAAATGCAATACGATTATATTTCTTTTTTTTTAATCGGGAACTTACATGCCAGACACACTTCGGTAAAATGCACGCTATTCGGAACCAGCATAAGATTTCCGATGCCCTCCGGCTGCGCCTGTTCCCTCGTTAAATAGCAAGTACTCTCCTCGTACTCGGCCGCCCCGCTGAAAGACGCAATTCTGCTGCCAGGTTGAAAGTCAAAGCTCGTACACGCGCGAACCAAGTTGTTCGTCGCCGTTCTATCCCGTAGACAAAGCTCTTGACACTTTTCCAGAACTCTAAACGGAGGCGCCGAGTCTCGCACCTGTCGTAAACAAGAATTTTTTAACGTCGAATACGTCTCTTACCGCGGGTACGATTGTAGTCAGTAACTTTTCTTACGCGACAACTGTAGGACATTGTAATGATGAAATTAAACTACGTGAGAAATGATATTTGAAAATATTTCTTATTCGCTTTATAGCAAATTGCAAATTTGAGGAGCTGAAACGCGATAGTTTTGAAAAATTGGAATATGAAATATTTCCAAAACAATCTTACCACATCGTCGTCAAAACCCTGAAGTTGTTGGTCCGGAAGTCTCTCGTAGACGACCCTACCTAAACCACCATTGCAGCTTGTTTGCGCTGAAACTATAATAGTTTTCTCGTTAACAACTGTTTGTCGGTCACCGAGCGACAGATCTCGTCCCTGATTTCATTATTTATATACTATTTCGCATAAAAAAAACACGAATTATTATTTCCTTTTCGCATAAAATTCAGCCTACTTCCTCTAGTCAGATAACGCAAATGCGCTTCGATTTTTATCAACGCGATATTTTCATGTCATAAGTAGCACGGATAGCGACACAATGCCGACCAACAATTTCGCAAGTACAACGTGACATCGTTCCACTTGTATCTTGCGAATTGCTCATTTGCTGAAATATTTAACTACATGTGAATTCCAAATAGCAATGAACATTTTTAAATTTGATTCTTATACTGAATAAAAAAGATATGGATTGTTAGTAAAATTTTATTTCAATTTTTAGCAATATATATTGTCAATTTGATATGATTAATATGTAGTGTATTTTAATAATGTATTTCAATCATATTAAAAATGTTATTACAAAATTCTAATTTTTTTCAAATTTAAGAGAGAACTTTTCTTTTGTTGAATTTCTTTCGTTCGAAAAATAAAACATACTGAAATCGATATGTAATATATGTTTGCAGTATATCTATCCAATTCAATTTCAATGAAAGAAGTGGCGGAAAATTTTCAAATTATTGGGAACCACTTACCATTGGCCAACAAATTCAATATGATGTATATCCAACCGACTAGCAAGACGCAAATTGATCGGTGAGTTCTCCACATTGCGATATTTAAATATAACGATAACTATATCGTATACATGCCAACCGCTAAATCTGAAATAAATCATTAAATATTTGATATAAAAGAGATAAAAAATTTCTTTACTTTAGAAGAATATTATTATCGTTAAAATATTTGCTGAGATTTTAATTTCATTTTTACTGTAACATTAAAATGCGAGTTATTAAAATATGATATTAAATCATTTTGTTTTCTCCGTGAAATTTCACGAATAATAGAAATCAAGAAATGGACGAGAAATGTGCTTTTCACTTTGAAAATAGGAGAGAAATTTAATTTATGTCAAAAGAGAGAAATGTGTTCTTCTAAAGAATAGTTTTGTATTGAAATTTAAAAATGCAAGAGATCTCAGAATTATTTATAGGATAGACTATCGCAAAGATACTTACTTTCTATCCGTATTTTTCTTTTCGTATGAGATAAATGTCAAAGAGAACATATCGATATTTTTCACGCCAAGGGAAAAACATAAAAATTATATACAACATATGTGCAAACTTCTTTTCGCATCTCTAATTGAAAAAAGATATAACTACATTTTAGATTGCATCACTATAGAGTTTATTTCAAATTAAACGAATTGCACAATTCAATTTATATTGCATATATGTTGAATTTATTCCCGATGTTATAAAGCATAAAAAAATTGTAGAATAATTTTGATAGCTGTATTTCAAAATAGTTCGAATATTTTCTCGGAATTTCTCGGAATTTCTCAGGGAGCACAGGATCGACGCAATAAACGTATATCCAGTTTTTGTTTTTCGTTTGAAAAAAAATACAACACGTGAAAAATTGAAATAAAGATAAAGCTACGCGCGAGAATCATTTGTTCTGGCAGATGGACAGACGTTTCCATGTATTCGAGATACGCGGGGACAGCATGTAGTAGAGTTTATGAGATTCCTGACGAGCACTCACCCTGAACATTTCCACACACTCGCACCCTCGCGCGCCCGTATGCGTACGCGACTGCCAAAGGACTAGCACACACCCGTAAGGGCAACGAAGCGTGATTCCAACTTTCAGGCATTACATTATTAGCTGGTTGCCATTATCTGTCCGGTTATCGCGATTGTTGTAGAAAAGCGCGGGTTCAATCATCGGAAACGAAAGAACGAGCAGGGTCATCTTCACGCGCTCAACGCGATTCTCGATTTTATCATCAATGATGAGAAAGATACCATGTCGTTTGTGTGTAATAGCTTGCAAAATATAATCTTGCGTTTTTGAATCTTTTATTATTATAAAAAATTCGCGATATTTTCTCGCAGCAATGCTTTTTCTATTGTATTTTAATATTAACTCTTTCGGACTAAGTAATAATATTTAATATAGGTGTGTTTGTGTGAAATGTGTGTCTAATAATTGAGCCATGAAATGACAATTAATTATCTATTTGAGATTTAAATTTGGAATTGTTGTAATATATAAATATTGTGTTTTATAAAAGATAATATAAATTTCCATAAAAAACAATACATATAAACTTGTTAATTTGTCTGAATATTAATTTTTACATATTTATCTTATCAGTCTATATAATATCCGCTGAAAAACCGCGCGATCGAAATTCGAACTCAGCGAATGTTCATGGCGATGCCATATAATGGGACGTTTATGATATAAATAACGTATCATAAAGAGGATTTTATTATCAGGATAATTTATATTTATCCGTTGATGCGTGGCTGTATTTTCAGTTTGTGATGAATGCCAATTATTGTGTGACCGTGGCATGTTCGCCGATTGTATTCTGTCGCTGTTCATCGTGCAGCGAAACTGCTTATTAATCGCGTTACGGTTTATCGCCCCGGTAATTGCGTCTGTCACCGATAACGCATATATAAAAGCTTATTCTCATGTTAATATCATCGGTCGTGAGGGGAAATTATGGCGCCCGTTCGTTATAATTCGCGGAATGTTACACACGCAGTGCAAAATTACATTTCTGTAATTGCTCTCACCGGATTTATTACGCGTTGCTCATCGTATGCAAATCGTTTCGGAGAATTATTCGGATTAAGAATAATTAAATATGTCATTACAAGTGAATTACCCGCTAATAAAAATCGTGGAATTGCCGATACCACAAAGGGATGTTAAAAAAGAAATAAATGTTGAATTATATAGAGAGAATAGTCCACGTAAAATATTTTTAATGTCGATACTTTATGTAAATGTCTTTTTAGTACCATTATAAATCGCATCTCTCTAATATAATAGAAATCTTTGGACACAAAAATTTGAATTTATTGATTACAGAAATTTATCTGCCGATAGTTAAACAAATAGAAAGTTTTTTTTATGTAGATAAACAAGAATCAGTTTACATATCGATATTAATTTGATTTGCAATTACCGCTGTTTGAAAGCTTTATTTCTGCGGCAGCTTTATTGTGAGCTTCCACCACAGAAACTATTGTCGTGGTACTTTGAACTCTGTTGGTACGCGGATGGCATTGTTGCGTGCGTACTCGTGTCGAACCGGGAATGAATTCGGTCATTGTTGTGTGACGTTGATGTTAATGGAACGTTCGCACGCAACGACAAATTATTATCTGGTAACGCTAATTACGTCGAATTAAATTCGAGGGGCGAAAATGTACAAACGTTTGACTGCGCGGGTGGTACTTTTACGAGAATTACTAGTGGCATTGAGAAAATTATTATAAAGCGTAGTACAACGCGATTGCGTGACTGTATAAAGGATCGCGGAAAATCCGTACTGCATCATACGATTGCGTAACAATCTTCTGAGAATTATTATAATTATAGCGATACAAACAAACATGTACAAGCGCTTCGACGCATTAATCGCCATGCAATGCGCCATTAGAATAATTGATTAAGATTTCAAATCGTTGCAATCGCGCACACACAAGCAATTATTCTATCTCTCTTTATATACGCAATTGTATGAACAATGCGCTCTGTAAAAATGTTTACTTTTTATTATTGTGTACTAATGACAATTAATCATCACGTGTTTATCAAAAATTTATCATGAAAATATATTAAAAGTCTTACATTTTTAAAACAAATTTTTATACAATTAATCAATTTTATTTTTATTCTTGTTAATCATTTTTTTATTTTATTCTTATTATACATTTTTCTGAAGGTAGAAATAATAACATAAGAATTATAAACGAGTAAAATGAACTCTTAAATAAGCGCGTGATTCAATTTGCAGTTTTTAAAAAGAAAAGCTGCAAAGAGTTATAATTAAAGTTAAACAGTTACGATATTAACATTCGCGTAATATTAATTTGATATCATTCGATATCTGAATACAGAGATTGCCAATTATGTAAAGAAACAAAGTTCATTAATCAAGAAAGTAAAATATATCTCTTACCCGAGATGGATAGCTCTCCCCTGGAAAGTTTTCCGTTTTTTTCCTGCAAATCCTTTTCCTGTCCGAGTGTGATTGCGGCTCTGTTGAAAAAAAAAAGGGATAGCGAAGAAAAAAATCGTCGCGGATGGTTCTCCGATGTGTTCCTCGTCCTGTTCGCCGATCGCGCGAAAGAGAGGCGTGCGGGTGTATGCCGATATCACGCGTGCGGTGCGAGTGGCACCCGTAATCAAACTGACGGTCAAAATCGGCGGGAAGCGTGGAAATAATGGGTAGACACCTGTGCACATATACCTGGGAAGCGGAGAGAGAACAGCAAAAGAGCAAATCGTGCATTCCCGATGAATGGCCTCCATGTATAGACCGTAGGGGGCCCATAGGGAACGCGAATAACGTGCGCGGGAGGTGCCCCCACGTCCGACTTCTGGCCTTGCGCGCAACGGAAGTGGACCTATTGTGTGTCCGGTTTCCGTGGGGCCATCCGGGAAAACGGGCGACGCATGGTATGTCGTATGAGGGCCCCAACGAGCGTTGCTGATCGAATTCGAAGCCAACGTTTGACTCTCTTTCTCTCTCTCTCTCTCTCTCTCGTTATCGAGGCTGACTCGCGGCGGAATCATGGATTAGAGATTTCCAGCCGAGGTCAACCAGGACGAGATCGCGCCGTCATCGTTGACAGGGAAGGCAGCGAATCGCTCAACGATCGACTGAATAAAACGATCTGGGGAGGTAATCAGGCATCCTAATATATCGAGGTCCGTAACCTTCTGTTTATCATATTATAGAAGTACTAGCATTGGAAAAATTACTCTCTTTATATATGATTTTTTTTAGATACATTTTGTGATTTTTAATTATTACGGAGAAAGAATCATACATATATTTGCTCATGTCAATTTTCAAATTTAATAATTTCAATAATAATAGTTAATTGTTAATAATTTTAAATTTTTGTAAAAGCTATCATGTGCACAATATGAAATAAATGTTCTTGAATAATTTTATAAAAATAGAAATCTTATCTTTTTAGATTCAAAATATAAGAGAGAGATATTTCACTTAAAAAATCAATATAAAATAAATGGAGATATATAAAATGGATATAAATTACATCAATAAATATAAAATAAAATATGTGTAAAATATGTTCTTTTCAATAATAGCATAGCATATGACATCAGCCCTTCATAAATTGTGATGCTAATAACGATCTTGGATTATTTTCTCTTCTTTATTTTATGGAACGTCCTTTCTTGTGTCCCCAGGGAACATATTGTACTTAAGAAATATCTTGTACTCTTGGGACAGCAAATAACGACGCGGAGTCTGAAATATTGCAGAAAGTGGTTGAAAAATAAAGAGACGTAATAAATCTTAGAGCGCTTGATAATCTTCTTTTTTGTTTTTGATATTCTTTTATTTACTAAGCGCAAACTTTTATTTTGAAGATAAATCGAAACATGATAATTCATTTTTGTATACTCAAATATACATCTCTGTTTATTAAATATTGATAAAGAAAGAGAGAAAGAAAGAAAAGTTTTTAGAGATATATATAACTTTGTTAGAAAAAACATGAAATATTACTCTGCTAGAAAATATATGAAGTTTGTAATTAATAAATAAATGGACATTGAAAGATGTATTTAGATATTTCATGTTACAAATGAAGAAATTCTGATTGTGTTTTTATATTTAATAAAAAAATACATTTAAAAAGTTTATCTCATTAAAAAGTCGGAAGATAAAATAAGATTTACTTTTTTTTTCAAGACATTAAATTATATCAAAGTGTTTTTTTTCTTTTGCATAAATATTAATCAAGATATATATGCTCGAGTATACTACAAAAAAGCGTTACTTCCCATTAGATTTCTCACACAATGTTTATAATTATCACAAAAATAATTATCAAAGTAAAAGTGTTTCGTAAATGAAAAGAAAATAATAATGAAATAATGTTCTTTAACGATTTAATTGCCATAGCAATTGTATGCGTATTTTTTCCCTAAATAAGATATTCTTTC